TAGTATTATGGAAAATTTGGAAGTGCCGTGTAAACGCCGAAAAACTGGTCTTTTAACAGTTAATGAAAAAACATTAATATTTATTTGTTTTAAATCATTTACAGACAAACGTTTATGTGAAAGTGTTGATGAGGCCGTTGAGTTAGTTAGCAGTACACTTGGTGTTGGGAAATCTACGATTTACAGAGTTATTAAAGAAGAGAAATGTGGTAGTAATTCAAATGCCACGTAATGCTCCAGGGAAACCAAAATTTCAAATAGAATATCATTTTAAAAAAGGACTTCGACGGAAAGTGCATGAATTCTTCTTTAGGCAAGAATTTCCAACATTGGATAAAGTTCTTGTCTCAGTTCGAGATGATAAGGATTACCCAGAAATGAGTCGAAGTACGTTATGGAAACTTTTAAAAGAAATAGGCTTCCGCTGGAAAAAGAATCCCAGAAAGTCTATTTTATTAGAAAGAGGCGATATTGTCATATGGAGAAGACATTTTCTAAGAACCATAAAGGAAATGAGAAACCAAAAAAGAAAAATATTTTATCTTGATGAAACATGGATCAACGAGTGTCATACACCAAATAAATTTTGGCAGGATGAAACTGTTACAAGTCAAAGGCACGCTTTTGTAAATAACTTATCTACTGGTTTAAAACCCACCATCAGGAAAGGGACGCAGGCTGATAATAGTACACATTGGCAGTTCAGACGGTTTTGTTGAAGGTGGTTTATTAACTTTTGAATCAACTCGTACCGGTGACTACCATGAAGACATGAACGCTGATGTCTTTCAAGAATGGTTCGAACAAATGATAGATCTTCTTCCTAAGAACTGTGTAATAGTAATGGATAATGCAAGTTATCACTCCAGACTTATAGAAGGACTGCCCACAACCAAGTGGTTAATAAAAGACTTGCAGAATTGGCTGAGTTCAAAAAATATTACGTACCATCCCGGATCTATAAGAAAGGAACTTTATTCGTTGTGTGCCCTTCGTAAAGAAAAATTTTAAAAATACGAAATTGATGAAATTGCCAAAAATCGTGGAATGACAGTACTTAGATCCCCACCATATCATTGTGAATTAAACCCGATTTAAGTGGTATGGGCACAGATAAAGAGTGAAGTTTCAAGAAAAAAATACCACTTTTAAAATTCATGATGTTAAACAGTTGTTTTTGGAGGCCGTAAATAATGTAAAACCTGAAAACTGGGAAAAGGCAGTAAATCACACTATTAAAGAAGAGGAAAAAATGTGGAAGCTGGACAATATTACTGATAAAATGATCGAGCCAGTTATTATAAATCTTGGTTCTGAAAGTTCATCTTCTGAATCTGATTTGGATTTGTAACAAGTAGCTGTAAGTTTTATATTAATATTTTTATTCATCTATTTAACATACCTTAGACGGTTTTAAAAACTCTTTTTCCCTTTTGTAATTTTTAAAAATTTAAAAAAATGTGAATTTTTTAAAACCCTTTTTAATGTAGGCCAGTCAGTTCTAATATAGTGTGTGATAAATGAGGTCACTTTTGTTTACATACACATAACACTTTATAACACTGAAATAATTCATTTATTTTTTACAATTATTCAAAGTAATTTTTCAATTAATCTTGAGCACGCCCATGGAGTGGTCGAAGGTACCAGTTAAAATTATGCTAATTACTCTCTCGTTCATAAAATAAACTATAGTTCTGTACCACACTAACAACCTCTATAACCTAAAAGTTACTCTTCCGTAATCAGACAACCAACTACTAGTGTTTTTCCGTCAAGAAACCAATCAATCGTATTTGATGCAATAGACAACACTAAAATTGAAGATTACCTTCACAGTTTAAGCCTCATAACTCGACTAATCAATATTATTTTCTGTTCAAGGCTATCCAACAACAGAAGGTGCATTTACTTAGCAATTTGAATTGAAAATTATTCATGTGCGTACCGGATACTTCAGACCATGAAGATACTTCAGCAGGATCAGCAGTAAGTTCATCTGTCAGGGTCTCATCATTGTAATTCATGTTCTGCTGAATAACATGCTCTATAACATTGTCAATATTATTTCCTGCTTCTGTTACCTGAACTGAATTTTTAGATCTCTGTGGATCTATCGAAAACACCACTCTTCTTGCAGAGGTACTTGGCAAATTTTCTTTGGAAGTGTAGTCAAATTTTTTCTCTGGAGATTAAACAATCTTGATTTTTTTCTATGGGTCTCTGAATCCTCTTCTGAACTGGACATGTCAGAGTCTGAAGGCGCATATGCATTCATATCAGGGAAAAAGTCTTCATCACTAGCCGAAAGCAGCTCCTCCCACAATTTTTTCATTATATTTTGTTCCCCGTTGTAGCTATCTAGCCATTTCTGAGTCAAACACAACGTCAACAACACTCACTGATTGCAAAGCGCAAGTAAACTGAAATGCTGGCGACTAGCGGACTAGACTAGACCACAACTAGACCATGCGACTAGACCACAAGGATCTACAGACCGAGAGTTTGGTACAAATTCCACGGCTTCGCGCAATCGTACTTGTAAATTCGTGAACTAGTCGACTGGAGTTACAATTTGCCAAATTTAAATGTAATCGTTTCTACTCATTCATATTAATATTATAATGTATAATATATTAATGATTTTAATATTGGTAATATTATTAAAGCTTTTAATATTATTTTTTAATATTAATAATAATATTAAGTAATTAAATATTGCGCCTTGTTTAAAAAAGTACGAGATAAATAACTCGTTTTTTTATATGAAAGTGCAATTTTTTGCAAATGCTTGGTTTTTTTGATAAGATAATACAAATTGTATGAAGAGTAGCTAAGCGTTGGGTAATCAGTGGCGAATTACGAGGAGGGAAAAAGGATTTTCTGAATTTGTCAATACTTTGACTGAACATACAACCAACAGAGGATGGAATGTTGTCAGACCATTAACAATATTGAAATATAACCAGTACGTGACAGGAAACGATGTAGAATATGTTGTATGGATTAAATTTGAAAAAACACAATTTACGAGTGTGCTGATTGTGACAAAAAAGCCTGGACTATGCATAGGATATTGTTTTCGCAAATACCATTCGACCAACAGATATATTGCATTCAGTATATTAGTTTAAATAATGGATGCAGTTTCAAAAAGCGAAATGAAAATCCTAATATTAAACAGCATTGTGACCAGGTACAATATCTGACTGTTATGCAAATTAGTAGGTAATTAGAAAGTCAGTATGGGCAAAACCAGCTTATTTAAATTATAGGTACCTACCTATAGTCTTGTATTGAAGGATTTTAATTTATTACCCTTAGCATACGTAAAGATTTTCAAGAAATTAATATCAGGTTCAGTTTTCAATGAAACAAAAATCTTTAAGAGAATTGTCACTATGTAAAATACCTGCCTAATACGCTAATTCATAATAAGAAAGTCAAATCGCCAAAGCCAGCTTATTCAAATTATAACTATAGTCTTTTGTTAAAGGATTTCAATTTATTATCCCTAACATTTGTGGAAGTTTTTAAGATATTTATATTTTCAAATTAGAAATTGTTAGTGGGACATCAGCTAACAATTAAAAGGTCTTTAGAAAATAAACTTTTTATTTAAACTAATATACTAAATGCAATCTATCTGTTGGTTAAATGCTATTTGCGAAAACAATATCCTATGCATAGTCCAGGCTTTTTTGTCACAATCAGTACACTCGTAAATTGCGTTTTTTCATATTTAATCCATACAACATATTCTACATCGTTTCCTGTCACGTACTGGTTATATTTCAATATTGTTAGTGGTCTGACAACATTCCATCCTCTCTTGGTTGTATGTTTAGTCAAAGTATTGACAAATTAAGAAAATTCTTTTTCCCTCCTCCTAGATTCGCCACTGACTACCCAACGTTTAGCAACTCTTCATACAATTTGTATTATCTTATCAAAAAACCAAGCATTTGCAAGAAAATTGCACTTTCATATAAAAAAACGAGTTATTTATCTCGTACTTTTTTAAGCAAGGCGCAATATTTAATTACTTAATATTATTATTAATATTAAAAAATAATATTAAAAGCTTTAATAATATTACCAATATTAAAAACTTTAATATAATATACATTATAATATTAATATGAATGAGTAAAAACGATTAACATTTAAATTTGGCAAATTGTAACTCCAGTCGACTAGTTCACGAACTTACAAGTACGATTGCGCGAAGCCGTGGAATTTGTACCAAATTCTCGGTCTATAGGTCTGTAGATCCTTGTGATTGTGCTGTTGTGACTGTGACTAGACCGGTGGTGCCGCCGACGAGAATCGTAGAGCTCCCTTTCTAGAGAACCGCTTCCTTCAAGGACGAGTGACGCACGTGTGCGCTCCCCCATTGGCCATAACGCCAAACCACAGTATAGTGCTTTAAAAAGAATTAAAGCACTATACTGTGGCCAAACACATGCTTTCGGGCCATGGGGATCAACGTAGACCGTCACATAAAAATGGCAAAATCGGGCAAAAATTTTCAAATTTAGGAAAAAAATGCCAATGAACGAACCTTTGTAGTAGCTCAAAAATATTCAAAATTTCAAATAAAAAAATTTGGCCCCAGGGTTCCACAAAAATATAGTCCCATAGTGGCACTGTACGTGTTAAAAAAATAGACCGCATTCATTACCACGGTATTAAAATACGGATGATTTAAATAATTATTTTACTTAAAAGTTGTACTTTTTAACATGTCACTTTTACCATCTAAACTGATAACCATTAATGAGTCCAAAGGTATTAGGACTTAAACACAAATTTAAAAACTACTGTGGCTTAAGTATTTTCCAATCCTGATTTATATAAAAAAATATTTTTAAAATTTATCTTTAAGCTTTGGATTTATGTACGAAATATTACAAACTACTATGCGTATCAAAAACAACCGATTTTAAATATATAAAAATTTGCATTTATTTAGTAACACAAGAAAATATTCTACTTACGTTCAAACGAAGATCTACAATCATCATCTTTCTTCTCCATCCCCATTTTGTCCTTTTTCTGCTGTTTATTGAAAAATACATACCCACCCCTCACTACTAAATAAAGGATCAAACCCATCACAAAATATTGCCAGTACAATTCGAAAAACATTTTGATATCTCGGACGAGGTCGGTGACTGTGAGATCACTTGACGATTTTGCAGTATATAACATTGATATCGCTATATTCGACCTATATTCTTCGACTAATAACCTAGATTAATATATTTTTAAATCGTATGTAAAAAAAGTTTTAGGAGTGTCTATGTAACATTTACTGTAATGTGTGGCAGAAGGGAGGGAAAGGAGCGTCCCTTATTTCAATAATGACTGCTTTTATGGTATATGCGTGTTGTGACCATAAATAAATCGATGTTTGTACAAAAAGAAAATAAATTCAATGTGAACTGGAGTGGTAAAATTGTTCGATATATGTACATACAGAGTGAACACTATATTTATCATATTAAAAATTGATTTGTTTTTCTGTATTCTTGATATAAGTTTCAAGTTCAAATATTATATATTATCATTATAGTTATTTGTTTACATTATCAGTAGCGCACCTAGAAGTTTCCTTTAAGGGGGAGGGATTTGGTTGGGCACCGAAATTTTTTTATGCTACCTCCACCATTTTAAGTCCTTAAAATTTGTGAATAACTGTCGGAAAATGGTCCTGGGGGGGGGGGGTTAACCCCCAAACCCTCCTTCTGGATGCGCCACTGTAGATTATCACAACGAATATTTATTATTCCTATTATTGATATAGTCATTACTCTATTTTATATGGGGTTGTCCCTTATAAATATTCTAACGCGCTTTAAAACAAGATGAGCGTTTCTAATTTGTATTGGAGACTATTTGTTTTTAAGCTCACAGTGCGATAATATCTTATTCAACTAACTTCCTCTTAGATCTGAGCGTCCTGATCAGCAACTCTATATGTAGGCCCAGGATGGCGGAACCTACATGCGTTTCCAGCTCTGCATGAACCCCTCAAGAAGAAATAACAGTCTACTGACTTTAAAGGGCACATCTCTTCAGGTTAATGCAACATTAGAGATTTCAATTGCTGGATCCAGCGTTTTTTTTATATGCTGGATGCAGCAAACCATGCTGGATCCGCAAACGTGTCAAATTCGAAATAAGTTACTTCATGTCTTCATTTGCCTCTTTATTCAAAGCTGCGGTCGGCAACTTGCCATTCTATTATGCTAGCAGGTATGACATGCCACAAGTGCGATTGAACTGCAACATCGCGGTCGATCTCTCTCTACCCATTGACTCTTAGAGCTCTTTTACTTGTGTAAGTTTTAGTCCGACTTTCTGCTCTCGCCAGTAAAAGTTTTTTCACGTCTAATATGTGCCTATCTCAATCTGCTGTACTGCCGTGTGTGTTGTTTGGAAACTGAATGACTTCCTTCTTAACTGTCAACACCGATCTTATTACAGTGCGAGTGCGATCTTTTACAAAAATATTTATGTTTGCCCATTTCACAGCAATTTTTCGCCAACAGCCTTTTTTCTTGCGGTGGACATAATCTCTAGGTCTAGCTTCATGTGAAATCAAATAGTAAAAAATTTTCTTGTAGTTTATAGATCTGGCTAGTGAATACATGAAGCAATTAAAGAAAAAACGATATTTGAAGGTTCTACATATGTTTAACCCATTTTCTACTCCAATGTTTACTCATTTTTTCAAATTTGACCATTTTCAAAGTATTTTTTTTTTTGTATAAAACAAAAACGACTTGACCTAATAAAAACTACTTCGTTTATTCACTAGCTAGAGTTACAAACTACAAGAAAATTTTTAATTTTTTGATTTCAGATGAAGCTAGACCTAGATGTCTATCATGTCTACCGCATTAAAAGGGCAGTTGGCGAAAAATTACTGTGAAATTAACAAAAATGATTAATTATGGCTGAAATTCTTTTTTCAGAGTACTTCAAGTACTATACTTGTCTTAATTACAAATAAAAATAATTTTTAGTTTTTGAGATATAATTTTTTTAAAAAGTCGTTTTTTTATACCCTCACGGCCTATGTAACCCCTTAATTTTTAGTTTTTTTTTCAATCAACACATACAAGAAATATAACTCGTTCAGATAAAGAAACAATCTATAAAGAAAATCCACAAGGAAAAATTCCTGTAGCTGGCTGTATACCACGTATAACAAAAGAGGTTAGTCTTTGTAAATGGGTGTATTTATTTAAAAAACCCTTAAAAGGGTTTGTATCTCTAATATTATCTAACAATTTCTTCTATATTATCTAACAATTTATTAAAATTCATAATCTACCATATTACAAAGAATCCGTATCTACCATTGTCCACCTTCTGTCGGTCAACAACTTAGTAGCACACTTATACAAAAAATTTCAGGTTTTTACAAACTGAATTTAATACCACCAAAATAGATTTAGTTCAGGGTGCTAGATACTTTAAGTATAAAGGACCCCTATTATCTCTAATGTTGATTAACTCCTTTTCTCCTTCAAACCGCCCCCCCCTCCTTTTCTTCAGTCATTTCCTTTACTTTTATTTTCATTAGTGTCTGAGGAACCCAGCCTCTTCAATTTTAAATTCAATCACATAGGTTACTACTTTAATTTCTTCAGCATGTAGATTTCCATCTTACTAAACTTAATTTTATTAATTTTCACCATAGGAGCAGTCTTAAATAAAGTCATTTAAATATGAGGTCTGATATTAACTTCAAATATTTGTTATTTAATTTTTACCTTGGCCTAGATGTGTTAAACATAAAAGGATAAATTTACTATATATATATATATATATAAGCTAACCCAATATTAAATACACTTTAGACCACATTCCATACGACGAAAAGCAACATAAGTTGCCCAAGGCACAGGTCATTCTATTAATCATGACTATAAAACCATCATTGATTTCACATCTTTTATACCCTAAATTAATAAATAAAAAAGTTTTTTAAATCCCAACACCTAGATTGTTGTTATTTTTTAAAATCATCAAAACTTGTTGAATCTTTTGGCTGTAGTAATATCATGTACAACTAATATAGTTTTTGTTGCATTGACATTCTGTTTTCGTCATCCTTCATAAGTATGTTGTCAATCAGTTCCCAACTGTTCTCCGCGTGTAGAGGTTCTCTCTCAACGCTCTGGAACTCGATTGAGCCATGTGTTACCTCTAGTCAAATTTAATTTAATACTGAACATCACAGTTATTTTACAACACAATGTACAATCTTTCATAACTAAATGTAATTTAAAGGGTTTTTACCCTAGTATTTTGGTGGCTCAGGTATTGTGACCTAGTAAGTATAACCATCTTTTGCTTTTCAACCATAGTCAAAATTTCACAATCTCGTTTGTTTTAACTAAATGGTTTATACTTATTTTTAGGCATTTTTCGATTTTAAAACCTGATGATGGACTGTGTGGTCCGAAAAGGTTTGTTTTATTGATGTGGCCCTTTTAAGGGTTTTTTAAATAAATATACCCATTTACAAAGACTAACCTCTTTTCTTTTTTTTAATCTATAAAGGGCTGCCGGTGGTCATGCTTTTTCGTCACACTAAGATAAGGCTCACACATACATATATCAGGCGTTCTTGTGTTCTCATTCACGCTCACGTTCAGAGAGCCGTTGCCATTTACAGTTTGTTTCTTTATCTGGACGAGTTATACCTATACCAGACCTATACCTTACTTCACAGACGTTTTTTTTTTCCTTTCAGATTTAATGCTGCTCCAGTTACTCCAATATTAATTAAAATGTCTCTTGAAGATGATAAAAAAAATTGTGGGACTTTTTCACAAAACTGGATGAGGGGCGAAGTGCAAGATGCTCTTTACGCTCAAAAAATTGTTGATTAGCAACCGCTCAACAACAGGATTAAAAGGACATCTGAAAAAGATACACAACGTCTCTTCTTCAGGTTCCAACACCAGCACCATTATCTTCTTCTTGTAGTGCCTATCCGTTTCGGAACCACGTTCGTAGATTTTTCAGCCAGGACATCCTTCGCCTTTAAGGTCCCCGAGGTATTCGATTATTATGGTTAACACCATTATAACAGCTCCCAATGCCCCAAAGCAACCTCGTCAAAAATAAAGATAATCAGAAAGTAGTTCCGAGCAAAAAGACGAGAAAGACTATTGATTTCTACTTTGAAAGAGAAAATTCTATGGAAGATATGGTTACTAGGATGGTTTGCAAAGATGGTTCCAGCTTAAATTCATTTTGTACCTCGCCCGACTTGGGACGGTTATTCGCAAAAAGTGGATTCGAATTACCAACTTCTCCGAACATTATAAGAGCGATAATTTCCAGGTATGCAGAGAAAGTCCAAGCAAATCTTATAAAAGAATTTACTAATTTAAAACAAAAAAAACAAAGATTTTCGTTGAGCTTCGACGAGTGGACCTCCCAAAAAAATCACAGATACATGAATCTCAATTTTGCGTAATGCAGAACACTTTGTTTGATATTTGATAAAATATGTTTTTTAATGTCTCACTTCCAAACAAACTAAATAATTTGTTTCTGTTGTTTAGAAATTTAGAATACAGACTAATTTTTATCATGATATCTAAAAAAAACTCGTCGTCAGTAAGCCATGGAAGAAAAACATATTACGTAACTTGTGTCAGCTCAAAATTGCCACCAATCAAATTTGCGAACTACTCTTACAACAGATAAGTTCATTTGGATAAAATTTCATTCGTGACAATTCTCAGCCGACACAAGCAAAGCCCTATGTTTCACTTCCACGGCTTACTGAATACGATTTTTTTTAATCTCATGATAATTGTAGCATTTGCTCTAACCATTTTAAGTTAAAGAGATGTAAGATTGATTGCGAATTCTGACTGATGATACGTCCTTATTTGATTATATGTACCTAAGATAATTTTTATTTCGAGTTTTTATTTTATTAGTTTGTATTAAAAAGCTTAAGTAATAAATGAACACAAAAAAACATTAAAATAGTGTTTTTATTTTGATTTCACATTTTGCTGGATCCGCTCTGAATCTAGCTGGATTCAGGCCCATCTTGCAAAAACCCAGCTGGACTGAAAATGCTGCTGGATTGCAATCCCTATGCAACATATAAATACTAAATACTTTCCCAAACAGTCATCTTTGATCT